TTCTGACGACGCTATCACTTTCGGTAACGAGTCTACCAAGAAGGGCCGGAGCCGGAAGGGTGGTAATCGTGGTCGCAAGGGTGCCACCATGAAGAGGTCTGGCGCCGCTTTAGCAGACTAAGTGTGATATTGTCGCCCACTAGGATGGCGACCGTAGCAGGTCTGGTCGACGGAAGTGATTGTTGACTTCCGTACCCATTTGCCTCTAGCTCCCACCTGTAGTGGGTGTGATGATGATATCATTTCCAACTTGATTATGGTGTTATGTTCATATAGTATTGAGCCTCTCATCGTAAGCGCATAGAGAGGAATGCGAGTGATGTGGATGGGGTCTATTAGAAAGTATGAATACAGCTTTTCCAAGACTGATCCCAGATAGCTTGGGATTGCCATAGCTACTATATTATAATAGTAGTAACCACTGTTATGCTACTACAGAGGGATCGCTATAGTTCCAGGGATGTGGTTTCGATAGGGATGGTTCTATGGGGACTAAATCGGGATTCGTTCAGAATTCCAGAAAAACAGCATGCTAGCTGTACAGCAGATACCAGGTAGAAGTGTGGCTACCCTCAGTGCCTGTAGCATTAGAGTAACTGCCCGCTTACTCTACCACTAGAGCAGATGAATCACGAGCCTACCAACCCCAACTCCTGAGTGACAAACAAAACCCGGCATCTACTTAATCTGCAACCACTGTCGAGTGACCAGACAGCAACAGAATCGAAAGGCAGTAAGTAATATATACAGTGAAATTGTACATCAAAGTGGAGTCCATACCACTCCTCCTTCACATCCCAGCCGTATGTATCACCAGTGTTATGTTACACCTAGTTGAGCTCGTTGCGGCCTCATGTCGAATGACCCAACGATGAATTCTCAGTCTGACGTGACCAGTCGGTAAAACCTTCATTTTCCAGGTTCCAAACAGCGCCTCTTCGCTGGGGAGTCATTACCCACGGGTAAACCCCGTTTGTGACAGACCGTACTATTGTCAGTGTCGGCATCAGCATCTTCTCCAACAGATGGTGGGGTGAGCTCCCGTTCCTCAGTGCTGACCTCGCTCAATCCACCGGTATCATCTCGAGACGTGCCCTCTTGAAAATGAATCTGCAATCCTGGATAGTTAACATGAAGCCAATTGCCGTTCACTTTGACAAGCATGGCCTGCTCGTTCACCGACTGTATCTGCAGTCCCGCTTTACCATCAACGGTAGCCGTCACAAAGCCCATGGATCCCTCGTTCACCCCTTCAGGGCTCGACCCGCATTGCCGCATCGCCTCTGCTGTTGCTGCTCTTTCTTTTGATGTCG